GTAGGGGGTGATGTTGCTGTAGTCGAACGGTGAGACGGACGTGTAGTTCAGTTTTGGGCACGCGTACGGTGCTGCAGGGATTATATATAGGTGTAGTAGTACCTCTTCGGGCTCTTGTACACCTTTTTCTTGCTACGTGTGCGTGTTCTTTAGATCCTCAGATGGCTCCAGCACTTTCGTGACCACGGGCCGAGAGTCTTTGCTAGATTTTGGCATTTAGCAACTGGCATACGGTTTAATGTGAAGTCAACAACAACAACAACAACTTTAAGTAGGAAAATAGATGTACTACTTCGAGGTAAAAAAAAGCTTCCGTGCGACCAGTGGTTCGCACACATTATACACCGAAGGTGTGTGGAGACTGGTGCCAGAATACATGCAGATGCTGCAAGACAAAAGCGTGTACTGCTGTGTCCTTCAGTCGTGTCTACACTCGCGCACAACGCCAACTCAACCATAAAACTCACAACAGGAGAACTCAGTAGTAGACTAAATAGTCTACTGTATTCAGTTCAGTAGAGTGCAACGAACGGAAGTACTCTGCACTCACTCGTAGGGTGGGTTTGTTGGGTGCTGCTGCAGTCGTTGGCAAACGAAATTTGAAGCCAAGACTCACCGCATGCAGAGCTGTTCGGGCGTTCCCAGCAAGAGTGTGTAGGCTGGAACCCTGGCGTAGCAGCTCGGACATTACCTCGCAGTGCCCTCCTAGCGCCGCGCGGTGAAGCGGGGGCATCTCAAGATGGTCCGTGAGGCACGGCAGGATGCTCTCGCGAGAACCGCGCAGGATCGCCTTGACCATGCCGAGGGATCCGTGCGCCGAAGCCGTGTGCAGAGGCGTCTCACCCTCCGAGTCGCTGGTGTCCACGCTGGCTCCTGCGTCCACCAGCTCCTGAACGACTTCCTCGAAGCCTCGAAAGACGGCCAGGTGCAACGGGGTACAGCCATCCCCGTCTGCCGTGTCCAAGTCCGCACCCGCACCGATCAAGGCCCTCACCGTCGAGACATGCCCCCCGGAGGCAGCAAAGTGTAACGGCGTCCGTCGACCCCCGTAGTTACTGCTGGCGTCGACCACGCCCCAGGGGATACTGGTATCCACGGTCATGGCGCTGCTGCGGCTGCTGAAGATCGATGCTCCCCAGCAGTCTTTTTCTTCTCCGTCTGGGGCCGAGCCATTGTCGAGCAGCGCGGACACGACGGCAGCGTTGCCCACCTCGGCTGCCGCGAGGAGCGGGGAGCGATCGAGCACCGGCCCTCGCCGCACGAACGCGTCCGCGCCCGCTTCGAGCAGTTTCAAGCAGAGGGCGGGGCTGCTGTCGTTGTAACGGTGCTCCGGGGCAGCGGCGGCGGTGGCGGCGTGCTCCAGCGGCACTCGGAGCCACGAGCCCAGCTGCTCGCTCGAGGCGGACTCCCACACGATGGTGAGTAGCTCCTCGCCTAGCCCGCGCAAGGGGTTGCTGCTGCTGCTCCGTTTGCAGGCAGATCGTTGGTCCATGGCGAGGACAGCTTGCTGCTCCTTGCACTGCTGCTGTGCCGAGAGATGCCTCGCGTGGTGTGCAGCGCTGGACAGAGAGTGAAAACATCAGCAGCGTGCCGTGGGGAAGCAGAGGGCGCGCAGCAGCAGGTGCCGAGCCACCGTCAGCTTTCGGCACAGTTTTCTGGGTCTGGCATCAAAAGGGTGCTTTTGCATCATCATATCTGTGGGCCAGGTAGGCGTGGGAGGAAGAAGCGGTGTCGCCCCTCTCTGCTCCTGTTCGACACGGTCTTTGGAAAAACATTTCAACTACTGCAGGAACACGTCCAGGCTCAACCCCGCACGGTGCAACAACCACTCGAGTTTTCTACCAGCAGTACAAACGTGGTTGATTGATTCCGCAATCTGCAAGGCAACATGTGGTGCCGCAAAACAAAGAATCCTTTTCCTTGGGAGCTTGGAGTGCGCACCCCAATAAGCTGGCGCGGACACCCAGAAAGCCAAATAGTCAGACCGCCAGATTTGGCTGCAGCGCTGCAGTGCGAACATGAACTATTATATGCATATATGAGCATCTCACAGACAGCGAACTTCAATCGCACGCAGCCCGGTCTGCCCACATACAACATCGATCCGTTATTTCGTCGGTGCATGGCAGGACCTCCAAGCCGGAGAGAATCAGGGCAACAGCAACTGGCTAGTTTGTCAACACCGACAGCCAGCATTCCCATATTTTCAACCGAAGAAGCGAGCAAGCTGCGCTGCTGCTGCCCTTGTCTGAACACTGCCATGAACGCGAGCAAGCTGCACTGCTGCTGGAGCAGCAAGGGTCGCAAGCGCGAACTTGTTGCAGAGCAATCATCACGCTGCTCTTGCCAGAAAGGCCGCTGTGGTCGTTCGGGACTGGGGATTATTCGTTCCCGATCACGCATGAATACAGGCTCAGCCCGCTGCTTTACCAACAACACGTAGTACTTACAACAGAGTGTGCAGGGACCGCAAGGAAAACGCGGGGAGGGGCGGATTGACCACATAGCAGGAACTGAGAACAGAACTTGCACGTTTGATACCACATGTTGCTGCGCTGCGTAGCTACTACTGCTGCAGTGCGGCCCACCTCTCTCACCTATTAAGTCAGCGCTCGTGGATTTTTTATAGAGTACTCCAAATCGCGTGCGTTTGTGTGCGTGTATGTTGGGGTGACCTCGTGGTGCGCGCCCACCAGAGATCGCGAGCAAGTGGGGTAGCCGGTCTGCCCGTGTGCGATGAAAAGATTCCGATTCTTCCGATGGTCCTTGTCTGCCATGTTTTGTTTGTGCGTTTCGTTGGCCAAGGCCCACAGTCTCGCTCGGAATGGTATCGAGGGCGGGTTGCTGTTGATCTGTTCGCTTGCGCTGATCCGCTCATCCCCGCCCGGGTAGCTGGGCAGTATCTCTATGATGAGCACCAGATGGGTATATATATATACGTAGTACACAGGTGCTGGGAAACAACCGCTGCGCCTGTTGTTTCTACGCGATACATCAACTATTAGTACTTCCCCTATTGAAACCATGCTGCAACTTCCCTTACAGCAGCAAAAAGCGTCACCAGCACTCTCTCGGCAGCCCGGTATAGCCACGAGTGTCCGAGACACGGCGAGCGGGGTTACTCCCCGTGGTCTGAATACGACGGTCAAAGCGGTAGTACATTTGGCATGCACTCTCTTCTGCGCATGCATCGGAATACCGCAGCAGCCGCGCCTTTTACTTTGTGAACCTGGTTTTTTAGCTGTCTCTCTGCGGGACGTGGCGCGTCTGTACCTAGTGAGAGCTCGAACTTGACGATTGATTGGATTGGTGTTCCACACTTTTGTCGCCCACCCAAGTCCACCCACAGTCATTTCAAAGTAGTACTGTTCCCCCCAGAGGGTAGACTTTGCATGAGTGCATCTTATTTTTCCGGCAAGCTGAATCCTCACAGCCTTATTTGTATCGGCCTTGCAAGACCTCGTCATCGACGTCGTTGTTGTTGTTGTTGTTGTTGTTGTTGTTGTTGTTGTTTCTCACATTAGCTCTGCAACATAGTCTGGTCCACAAAAAATGGGGAGCCCGTGGTCTTAAAACCCTGCACAAAAAAAAAAAAAGAAATCGTAGACACACACCCCAGGGTAGTTTTCTCTGACGCTATGATTCCATTGTTAATCTGTCTCTGACTCTTTTCTATGATAGAGATGGACTCGTTGTGTCATATTTTTAAGAAAAAAATAAAAATAAAAAATCAATAAAGGAGGACGCTTCCCACACCCGCCTAAAAAATCAAAGGGTAACATACCAGCACCAGGCACTACGCATCAGGGCATGAAATAACGGAGCAAACAGGACAAAGAGGCGGCAGATGGGCAGACAGCCAGANCAACATAGTCTGGTCCACAAAAAATGGGGAGCCCGTGGTCTTAAAACCCTGCACAAAAAAAAAAAAAGAAATCGTAGACACACACCCCAGGGTAGTTTTCTCTGACGCTATGATTCCATTGTTAATCTGTCTCTGACTCTTTTCTATGATAGAGATGGACTCGTTGTGTCATATTTTTAAGAAAAAAATAAAAATAAAAAATCAATAAAGGAGGACGCTTCCCACACCCGCCTAAAAAATCAAAGGGTAACATACCAGCACCAGGCACTACGCATCAGGGCATGAAATAACGGAGCAAACAGGACAAAGAGGCGGCAGATGGGCAGACAGCCAGATGTACAAAAAAAAACAAAAGCAACAGCAAAAGCGAGATCAAGGTACCCAACACAGCAGAGTAGGAAGAGATGATGAAAAAAAAACAGAAACACAGCACAGATGCCGAAGGCAATACAAAGGATATTAGAGAGTTTCGGAACAAAAGTTAGATATAAGAGCGTTTCAGATTTAGATTTTAGTTTAGGAATGTTCTGGGAAGATTATTCTGTGGCGAACAGTCTCAGATTTAAGAAATCTGGGACGTTTTGTGACGTGGGTTCTAAACGTGCTCTGATTGGCTGATTGTCACAGTCTGGGAAGACCCACCGCACACACAACGCGCGGCCCTCCGACACCGGGAGCGCGAGGTACACACACACACGATACCAGCAGCCAGCACACGCACCTCAACCTGGCTACAGGTCCCACCATGTCACGTCTGCGCATCCGTGAGAGGATCGCGCGCAAAACACGAGCGGTAGTGTTCTTGCAGTGCCGACAGATGTTCGAGGCCTACACCGACATGTGGATGGCATACAACATGGCCTTCATCTACACGATGGCGAGTCTTGTTACAGACGATGTGGCAACACGTGTTGCACGCCGAGACGTGACAAACTTCTTCAGCCCCCAAGACTGCATCAACTTTCTTCGCTTCACACAGCCGCAGGTAGGTGCTTCCCAGTTCTCTGTGTGTATCCCACTTGGAAGAACGCCACACTGCTGTGCTGCTGCAAGACCATGCATGTAGGCAGCACCAGTACACGGCACCGGGACACTTGTCCCCACACACTTTGTCCACATGTTGCCCGGGGTGTGTATGCAGCGGCAGAGCGATAGAAGAAGTGTTGAATGCACAAGCCGTGGGACTTCAGCGGATAGAGGGTGACACCACACTGCTTTGCTCCTTTTTTCTTCGTTCCAGATCATGCTTATGCTGGATCTTCTCTTGATCCCTGCGTTCATCCGAACCGACTGTGGGTTTGCCGTGAGTGGGCGAGAGGCTCTTTGCGTGCTACTGTATCGCCTGGCGTTTCCATGCCGTCTGAAAGACATGCGCTTGGTTTTCGGGTTGAGCGAGTCGTGCATCAGCGAAACGTTCAATTGGATGCTGCACTTCCTCGACTTCAAATGGGGCTGGCTGCTCTCCCTCGACGTGGAGCGACTGAAGCCGAGGTTGGTGGAGTTCGCCGAAGCCATCTACAACGCGGATTGCCCTCTCACACACTGCTGGGGCTTCATCGACGGAACCGTCCGCGGCATTGCGAGGTGTGTGTAATAATTATTGCCGCTTTTCAATGGTCTATAGGAGTTAAAGCGGGGTGGGCACACCGGCAGTAGACTATTATGCAGAGAAACCGATTCGCCGACTCTCACGAACAAAGTGAGGTTCAATTTTGTGATGTACCCAGGCAACAGTATGTCGGCCCGTTCTCCGTACGGTTCAAATGGAGCGACTGCTGAATCCCCCCAGCTTTTCATCATGTCGCCGGATTTGCATCGGCCAAACGCATGTTGTGTCGGTGCTTTTTGTTCTTGTACTCTTCGTAGGCCCGTGCGCTTCCAACGATGGTACTACAACGGCCACAAGAGGAAGCATGCCATCAAGTTTCAAGGCGTGATTACCCCTGATGGACTCTTCGTCGACATGTGGGGCCCTGTGCTTGGCACACGTCATGACAGCTACTTGCTTGCGCAGTCTGGACTGATGCAGAAGCTGGCAACACACTTTAACAGCCCTTCTGGCCACCCGTACTGCCTGTATGGAGACCCGGCATACGGTTTAAGCGACCATCTCGCCTGCCCTTTTAGTGCCTCATCCCACGGTCCACTTACGCCCGATATGGCCGACTTCAACCAGCGTATGAGCCACTGCAGGGTGGCCGTGGAGTGGGGCTTCAAGGAGATGACGAGCAAGTGGACGTTTGTAGACATGAAGCCGCAGCAGAAGTACCTGTTGAGCCCGGTAGGCAAGCAGTACCGAGTGGCTACCCTGCTCTCCAACATACACTCTTGCCTCAACGGAGGCAACCAGATTTCGCAGTTCTTTGACGTGCAGCCGCCCACCCTCCAGGAATACCTCAAGGTGTAGTCGTATAGTGTGTGACGTGTTTCAGACTTAAAACGGTGAACGCATCTAGTGATTGATGGAGAAACGCGAGCATGCCCTGTCGAGATACTCGCGCGACGAGGTGTTTGCACTGGGCATAAAAAGAG